ACGTGCTGTCCTGGTGTGGAAAGGAATCTGGAGGCAGTGAACTCAAAAAYACATGAACTCATAAAATCCACATCACCTGCTCACTGAAGTGCAGAGTTCCATTCTGATACTCCCTCCCCAAGAGGGATGTGGTGCCAGGGGTCTGCACATAYACCCACCTGAGCATCACTGGGTTTGGTGTCTTGGCTTGCAGGAGCTGAGGTTTGTGGGGAACGAAAACCAACTCGGTGCACAACAGTGACTCAGCAGGTGTAATAATGTGATTATAAAAAGGAGGRGTTTTAATTGCTGATCTGCTCTAACTATTCTTTTCTGCGAGGGTGGGCAGGCCCTGGCACAGGATGCCCAGAGAAGCTGTGGCTGCCCCTGGATCCCTGGCAGTGTCCAAGGCCAGGCTGGACTTGGACACCCAGCGAGGGTGTCCCTGCCCGTGGCAGGGGGTGGAATGAGATGGGCTTTAATGTCCCTTCCAAACCAAACCATTCCATGATTCTTTGAACATTCATCCTGTTACTGCAGCCTCTGCTCTTCCTGGCAGCAACTCACATACCTGGAACCAAAACRTCACCAGGGGTTGAAGGAGTTACAGGCCAGCGAGTTTGTGTTTGTTCATGGAAAATGGCTTTAAATTGTTATTAAAAATAGACTAATGGAGCACAGATGGGATGACATCGATTCTGTGATGGAAAATGTGTCAGTCATTCCAAAACATCGCTGGTACTGCTCCTGCTCCCAGTGGGAGTATGGATGGTTGAGGTGGCCAAAGGACGTCAGGACTACAGACATGTTAGAACTAGGAGAAGGGTGCCTCTATGGAAAAAAAACCACTTCAATAGAAACTAAGGGACTCAATGTTTGATTTTTCATTAACACTTCCACCGTGGATCTCATCACTGCACAGGTTAGTGTTTTCCACAGCAATCTGGAWAGGATGAAGAGCTGGAGAGTGCAGCCCAGTTCACAGATGACACAGAGGAAAGTTAATTGAACCCAAAAAGTCCATTGCACCTCTRAGCAGCAGAGCCAGGGAGCTGGAGGAGGAGTTTGTCCCAGCCCCCGGAGCACAGAGCAGACTGCTGAGGTGGGAGGAAGCCACTTTGGAGGGAAAAGGAGCTGCTGTAATGATTAGGACCATGTGTGAGCCAAGAATAGGGGATGCTGTAGCACATTTTGATAGCAAATGGCATCAGTGACCAGACCTGGTTGTAGGAAATGCCCTTGGGGTATTGACTCTATCAATCTAATTTTAGCAGGAGGACAGGGAYGGGGAGGTGGTGGGAGCTGGATCCATGGGCCTGGATGGGGATATTTCATGTTYCTCAGATGAAGTTTTGAAGAACTTGTGCATAGGTTGGGAAATAAAAGTGAATTGTGTGGGAGAAAGTTTGATCCCAGGTGATGTTGCCAGTCCTGCCTCAGTGTCCCAGGCCATGGGATCGTGTCCAAGCAGACCCATGGCCCTGGCAGCCCCTGTGTCCATGCTGGGCTCTGCTTGGCACCATTGCATGGGATGGCTGGAGGAGACACAGGGAGGGCAGGGAGGCTGCAGGAGCTGTTGGGCTTTGGAGCAGGAGCAGAAAAGGGTCTTGCAAGGGTGACCCCAAGGGATGGCTTGGGAGACGCAGGCACAAAGGCTCCAAGAGAGAGGGCTCCGAGGCCACGGGGAGGGGCAGCCCCACAGCKTGAGCTGGAGGTGTTTACCCACAGCTCGGACACGGGGAGCAGCCTCGGCTACTGCCCCAACGAATCGCTGCCCCACAGAAAGCCCTGGGATGGCAAATCAGCGTGTGGAGTGGGGAGCAAATGGGGGCAGGAYCTGGTTCTGGGGCATGTGGCTGCAGTGAGGACCCTGCGTGGTGCCCAGTGGGGTCCAGTGCCGTGTCCTCGCTGGGCTGATTTCACTCGMAGATCCCACCAAAAACGCTCCAACCTCTCCCTTGTTTTCTTCACCAAGAGCCCCTTAGAAGCATCCGAGGTGCAAATCTTGGCAGAGAGCACCCTCCAGTGGGCACTGGGAGACCAGTAGGATCCCCAGGCTGGGCACGGCGGGATCTAGGGTCCGTGCAGAGCGAGTGTGCCCCGGGCACTGGTGAGGCAGCTGGAACAGCTCCCATCAGAAGGTCTCCATGAGGAGCCGGGCTTGGCTCATCTGCATGGCTGTGGGCTCCAGCCGAATGCTGCCCTGGAACCAGAGGTCCTGGAGCAGTCAGAAGCAGTTCTGCTAAAGMAGAGTTAGGCAAACGTCTCGGGGCTGGTCCAGCCTGTGATGCCGCTCTGGATTTACCAGAATCCAGGGATGCAGTATGGCATAGGCAGCTGCGTGGAGAGCTGATGGTCCTCACTCAGACACCAGACGTGGAGTGAGAAGACACAAGGCAGAAGCAGTGGGAATTCTCAGGACAAACTGGGCACAAGGTCCGGACCACCTGACAGGTTGACACCCTCCAGGGTGTGGGCACCACCATCCCCTGACACCCCCCACCAAGTGAGGCCCACCCAAAGCCCTACAAACCCCACCCGAGGTGTYCTCTCTGCGCACGCTGTGTCCCGTTCCTCAGAGGGGACGCTCTGAGCAGGGAGAGCAGTGCCTGGAACATCTGGTTGTAATCAGTATTTGCAGAACTCTGCGGAACTGGCTTCGCTCCTGCCCGGCCACCAGCCAGCGGAGTTCTTTCCCATGGGATGCCGAGCCCGCCGCTCCCTGCTCCAGGGCTCCGCACATCCGGTACAGCGAGCTGCATCTCGGAGCAGCTCCTGCATCCTGGCTCTGCCCACGCCGAGGGCTTCGGTCCCCTTCAAAGCACTGCTCTGCTCCTGCTTCTCCTGGGATCTCCCTCTAGGGCCTGTCCACTGCTCCAGAGTCATCACGGGACTGTGGCTTCTCATTTCCAGCCCTCCCACCCTGGCCAGCCCCACTCACAATCATCAGAATAATGCAGTGACTTCATGGTAAAGYTTACTTCACATGGAAAGGGTCTTTGTCATTTTCTCACACTAAATATTTGACAGAAGACTTCAAGAAAAAAAGGAAAAAAAAAAGGAAAAAAAGCCGGAAGGAAAAAAAGCCGGTTTAAGTTGCTAAGTGACCAGATTTTTGTAATTTATTGAAGTTGTTGCATTGTGATCGTTTTATTAATCCCTTGGTTCCTGGAGTCCGGATCTCAGCTCACACTCGATGGCAAGTGTTCACACCTCTCCAGCTACASCAAAACATTTGGAAACAAGGCAAAGGCACAAAGAAAACAAAAGGAAAAGCCCTTGGCACTCACCTGGCTTAAAATCCTCCTGCTTGTGAAGCCAGCCACAAGACCTGGGCCGTACTGCAGTGACAAACCTGCATCATAAGGCAGAACAAGATGAAACCACCTTGAAATCAGCCAAAAAAATTGGATAAATTCCCATTTCAGCAGGATTACTTTGCCCTTGCCCTTGCCCTTGCCCTTGCCCTTGCCCAGCAGGACAGTGCCCAAGTGGGTGTTGTGGCTGCTGAGGAGGACAGTTTAGACCTGGTGCTTGTATTTTGAAACACAGAGATCTGTGTTGAAAAAGCCACAAAAACCAGCACACTATCCATTTTTTCCATCTCAGCCGGCAGTGGGAGAGGTCAGTGCTGGAAAGGCTGGGTGGGCTGGGAATGGGGAGTGAACAGAATGGGGAGTGACGGGCTCCAGATGCTCTCCTTACTGGGATGATGATTCATGATTGAGGCTGGCCAAGCTGAGAGAACCGGGCTGACTTCACCCTCTTCAYGTCCTAGTGGGGTGTGACCCCATGCCCCAGTTTCCCCATCTGTGCTAGGAACAGAGCCAAGACACCAGCGCTCCTCAGTTCCTTCCGCCTGGAGTTCATCCACGCAGGTGGCAACCCCTACAGCCACATCAACCAGGGAATGACAACACGGGAGAGCTCCACGGCTCCTGGAGGAGACATTCAGCTCTCTGCAGGGAGAGGAACTCAGGGCACCTCATGAAGCTGAAAGGGGAAAGGGGAAAGAGGAAAGGGGAAAGAGGAAAGGGGAAAGGGGAAAAGGGAAAGGCAAATGATAGTTCTCAGTGGTAGCAGCCCCATGAAGATGGGTTTGGATGCACAAACATTTACATAAACCCAAGCAGAGCAAGAACAGTTCCACAGGGGGAACAGAGGTCCAGCAAAGTTCACCATACCAAGAGAAATGGTATCACAGGAAACTCTCAKTAAGAAATCTAGTTCTGCTCTGACCCAGGCAACTGGAACTGCTGGGGATGGGGTGCTGGGCCATCTGGATTGGAGGCAACATCCACCACAGCCGTTCTTCTCTCAGGTTTTGCTGCTGCCAGGACCCTCATCATGCAGCCTGGAGGCCCCTGGGGTTGGGCAGCCAGGACATCCCCACTGCACTCCGGTGCCACCCCGGGGATACCCAAATTTTGGCTGTAGTAGTCCCTGAAGCAGGGGGGACAGGGAGGGAGCAGCTGCTGGAGCAGGAACACCCATGGGAAATGCGGGRAAAATGCGGGATGAAGGGTCTATCCTGCTGCAGCTGCTGGGCGCTGCCCATGTCGGGGGACACGGAAGCCCTGAAGCTCGGGGAGGCCGGAGCAGGACTCGGGGAGGCCCCACAGCCCCACAGTCCCAGCACAGGAGGRACGGCTGCATCTGGAGACAGCGCTGGAGGGGCCCGTGCCCTCGGGAATGGGAACGCGGCGGGGAATAGCTGGTACCAGGGGGTGCCCGTGTCCTCGGAGAGGCACCGGGAGGGAGGAGCCGGCACTGGCAGGGATGCCCGTGTCCTCGGGAATGGCACCGGGAGGAAGGGCCGGCACCGAGGTGTGCCCTTTCCCCAGCGCGAACAACGCCAGCTCCGGGGGTCCGGCCGGCAGCGGCCCCGCAGCTCCTCCCGCCAGCTCCGGGCTCTCCCTCCCGAGTGCCCCCGTGCCCCGCCGCCGGCCCGAGCATCCCCAAGCGGGGCCGCCCCTCCCTCCCCTTCCTCCTCCTTCTCCTCCTCCTCCCACCAACCGGCTCCGAGCCCCGGCGCCGCGGCCGGAGCAGAGCCCTCGCAGCCGCGGGGCTGGACGGGGCTGTGGCGGGCCGGGCTGAACCGAACCGGGCCGGGGGACAACCGGACCGTGGGAAACAGAGCCGATCCTCCCCGACTGGATCCGCCCCATGCCTTTCTACCGGCGGAGCGTGGCAGTGCGGGTCCGGCCGGCGGGGCCGCTGACCGATCTGCGGGACACCTGCAGCCTAGCGACCCTCGCCCTGCTGCGGCAGCTGGCCGAGCTCTGCGGCCATTCGGTCGCCCTCCTGGGGGACATCGAGGGCCACCTGCGGGCGCTGGCCCGTCGCGCCGCCCGCCTGCACCGCCGCGCCGCCCGCCTGCAGTCGCTGCTGCGGGACCGGCCGCTCCACGCCGCCGCCACAGGTAAGAGGACACGCACCGCAGGACGGGGTTCCTGCGCGCCCCATCCCGGGGGTACCGCTGCTGGGGTTGCTGCCCGCTCTGAGGGGTTCTGCTCCCTGCCCCACTGCGAGGTCTACGCTGCTGTCCTCCGACGTGGTCAGCCCGTGTCCCCTCCCCGGGCAGGTGACCCATGCCAGCTCCTACTAGGGGCCCATCATCCCTGCTCCATTCCAGTACAGAGATCTGGGGGKAGAAAGGTGGGACCGGCAATGCCTCACCGAGGCCCACGGTGCCAGTGTGCTGAGCACTGGCATGAGGTGCCACTGGGATTCTGGTGGCCAGGCCACTCTGCTGAGCTGCTGCATTGGTGTGAGGCCGGGACAACCCTGCACCCTTTCCCTCTGCCTTGCCTTTATTTCCCTTCTCACAGTGGGCATTTTCCAGGCTGCCAGCCAAGCATATCTCACACAATTAATGGAGGCTGTTTCAGGAAAGTGGGGACACCAGGCTGTCTGAGCTGGTCCTTGCCACCCTCTTACTGTCCCTGCCTCAAGTGCTCCACCTCATCCGCGGGCAGGGGACCAAGGGGGCTGTTCTGTCCAGTGTGGGGCAGTTTGCACAGTGTGGGGCTGTTGTGTATCTGGGGAAAATGCTGGGTTGTCACCCAGGCATCCTGTCAGCTTGTCCCCTCTCATGGCAGCCAGTAGGGTTTGGGTTCCCTTGGACTGCTTCCACTTCCCATTCCAAGCATTTCAATCTGGCACAGGCTGCTGTGCTGGGTCAGGAACAGGCAACACGYCGTTTTGGAGGAGCTTAAAATAAGCTCATTTTGGAGTTGTTTGTAGTTTATTTTAAAGGCTTTGTGGGGCRGGGAGGGCAGTGCTGCTCCAGCATGTTCCCCTGAAGCAGAGTTCGTTTCCCAGGCCCCTGGGCAGTGCGTGTGCCTCTGATTTCAACAAATCCCCTCACAAGAGCTCCCTTGCTGCTCCGTCTGCCTGGAGCCATGGGAAATGACTGCCAGATCCTCACAGCTTGTGTTCCAGATGCTGGGAGCGAGCAGAGCACTCAGCCCCGGCCTGGGAGCTGCACTGCTCCTGTAAATGCTGTGGACCACTCACTGGACTAAGAAGTGGCTCCCACTGTCCTGTGCATCAGCCAGGGGACAGCGAGGTTTCACAGTCATCCAAGCTGACCCATGCATAGCATCAGCATGTGCCAAACCTGGCAGCAGCATCACTGTACATGCTGGATTGGTGTCGTGCCGGTAACCAGATGGCCCCTCACTGCCTGTGTCTGGCCAGCAGGTTGGGACTGCTCCAGGTGGCCACAGGAGTATTGTGTGGTGGCAAGGGGACAGAGTGGGGAGACAGTGAAGGATAGCRTGGAGGAGATGGTGTAGGGGACAGGGGACAGGGGACAGTAGAGTGACGGATATGGGGGGATGGTGGAGGGAGGGCTGCAGCTGCTGTTGTGGGCAGGCAGAGTGTGTAGCCCCACGTTGTGTGTTCAGCTGATACCATGCACCTGGAATTTCCTGTGTGTGCAAGGCAGCAGCAAATTGTCCTCCTGTGCTACAGCTCCTCATTAGAGCCATGAATGTGCATGTATGTAGATGTGCCAGACTGGCTCAAGATGGGGTCAGAGGTGCGTAGTGATAAAAATGCTGTAATTTATCTTGTGGGAAGAGATGGGGCAGTGTGAACAGAGCCAGGCTCATCACAMCTCTTCTTCATTGCTGCCCAGTAGAAGAGGTTTGAGAGGTCCATTTCCCCCTGCATTCTAAGGGGAGCAGAGCCCATTCACATCCATCCACCACCTGCTCCACATCCATCCACCACCACTGTTCCACAGCCAGTGGGATGCCTGAGTTTCCCATTTGACTGAACTTACTTAGGTAAAGAACAAAATTCTGACTGGTATTTCGGTGGCATTTTGCTTTGCTATGTGGACTCCAGCATCAGCCCATGGTGGGAGATCAGATCATGTCTTGGGGGGACAGGAGCTCCTTGTGAAYCCCTGCTGCTGCAGGAGAGTGGTGGCTGCCCAGGGCTGTAGGAGGACATTTCCCACTGAGCTGCAGCACAACAAGGACCCAGGAGTGAGGAGCAAGTGGTCAACAACCACCAACAAGCAAATGGTTACCCTGCACTGAGCTTGGGGTTTATTTTCTTCTCTGTTTTCATTTCTTGAGGAGGATTCAATGGCAACAATCCCATTTTTCCTCTTAAAATTGAATGGAAGCCCATGGAAGATGGAGGGGTAGATCATCCAGGGCCAGTCGTGCCCTGGCACAGCCTCTGCACAGCCAGTGGCTCCCGGAGACACAGCACAGCCTACCTGGCCAGTTTGTACAGACAGGGACAGATCAGGGTGCAGACCCAGCAGGTGCCTCCCAGGCTGGGCTGGAGGCAACACCAGCAGAGCACCGGCCACAGCACCTCCTTGCTGCAGACCCAGCATCACCCTGGGCTGGACTAGTTCCATCCTCTGGCTCCTCTGAGGCTACAAGGTGGGGACCAGAGACTTCTCAGGAAGGGGAAATGCTCCAGGCATGACCAAAGCCCAGCTGCAGGGCAGGCAGGGCATGGGGGCGGCTGCCCAGCCCTCACAGATGAGCTGGTTCCAGCTCCCATGGGCCTGTGGTGGTTTGTCCTTCCCAAGCATGGTCCTTGTGCTACTGCAGCTCCCAGATCTGGGTATTTTCAGTTGGCTCACAGGCCTTTACCTGGTTTTGGTTCCTACCAAAACAGGTTTAGAGAGATTCAAAAGCCATGGGCCTCCTCACCCCATGGTTAGGGAGTTCAGGCCACCACTGCACAACAGCACATGTCCATTGGTGTTGCCAGAAGCTGTCAGCKGTGGGAGCTGCTTCATCCTCCTCATCCTCCACTGCCAGTGGAGCAGTTCCGCTTCCAGATGACGGAATCACACAGCAAAGGCCTGGGGAAACACTTGTCTGACAAGGCTGCGGGGCTGTTTCCAGCAGGAGACGGCAGCCAAGGGCTGTTGGATTCCTCCACTCTTATTCATCAGCAGCGGTGGGAGTGGGGAGGGYGCAGGCCTGTCCCTGGGAGCATCCCTCATCCCTTGGTGCAGGGAGCCMAGGATGCCCCATCTGGGCACAGGGTCCCACTGCGGCCAGGGCAGAGCAGGGACCAGGCTCCCTGTCCCACTCCCCTTGGCACGGCCATGTCCTGGAGGGTGACACATGCCAGTACAGCCCAGCCTCTYCCACTGGAACCCTGCAGCTCCAGAAATAAATGTCAGCAAAGCAGAGTATGGGGCCGGCATCAAGAGCTGTTCAAGGCACAGTCCCTGAAGAGCTGCAGGACAGCTCTCTGGAAGCAACCCCAGGCTGTGCTGGCAGCAGCAGCTGTTTACTGCTCCTGYTGAAATGTGCAGTGTTCCCATCCTCTGCCCTCCCAGCCTCCCCTGAAACCAGCCTTCAAGACAGACAGAGCCATCGGCCAGCCGGGGCTGCTGCCCACTGTGCCCTTTGCTCAGCTCTTCCCTTGCTGAGCTGGCACAGATGTTTCCCCCAGATCCTGCTACTGGGTTAAAAAAAAAGGAATGAAAGAAAGGAAAAAACTCTTCTGACATGCAGGAATTTCCTGCCAAGCTGAAGTGGACAGGGGCTGCAGCTGTGGCTGCAGTCTCAGGCCTCACTCATGCAAACCCACTTGAGCCTCACTCCTTCGAACCCACAGCTGCCTTTGTCAACAATGCCTGTGGGGTCAGTGCCCTCCATGTTGGAAAAAGCACCAGAAATGGTGCAGAGCTCTCACTGCACAGCCACAGGGGCAGTGTGAACAGAGAAGGAGACATCCCAAATTCAGGGGACAAGGAAGGTTGGTTTGGAATTAGATGTGGTCTTAGTCTGCCCTGATGCTCTCTTCCCCAGCTGCCCTGACCTGCTGTGGTCACAACCAGGGCTGTGAAGGGGCACTCAGGCACCAGGACACGCTGCAGCCAGTGTGCTCACCCCACAGAAGTGCCAAAGCCTCACAGAACTGCTGAAGAGGCTTGTGGGGGTCTCCCTCAGATGCCCAGCACTGCTCATCCCAGCCACAACCCTCTGCAGCCTCCTCTGCAAGGCAGAGCAGCTCCCAAAACCCTTCCAGACATCTGAGACATTTTCTCTGCCTGCATTTCCCCAAGCCAGTGGTGATTTCAGTGTCAGAGGGGTGAGCACATCTCCCCAGGCCGCTGGTGTGGGCGGGAAGTGGGATGCTGACCAAGGATAGTTGGCTCGGCTGCCAGAGAAGGGGGAGTGGGGCCACACCCTCCTGTTAACGAGAACCGTCTGACGGCTCAGCCAGAGATGGAGGGATGGATAACACTGCTCCCAGCGGCCCYGCTCTGGCCGACAGCCGTCCTCAGCAGTGGGCTGACGGCCACTCCCCGAAAATGTGTGCTGCAGGCAGCCTGAGGGGTAGGACATCCCAACCCTGCTGTCGGTAACTCCCCACACTGCTGACGTTCCTGCGAGGAAAGGGCTGCCCTGTCCGCACTTTTCCAAYCCCCGTGGTCACAGTTTCCCCCGGTTCCCCTGACCATGGGTTCCCCATGCTTGGGGGCACACRTGGGACATCGTGAGGGCTGATGTTGAGGACAGCATCTCCAGCTCATTCCTGCCATCTCCCTCCCACCTACTGGGGTTTTGTCAAGGCTGAGATTCCCGCTTGGAAGGATCCAAGCCCTGATTCCAAAAAGAGTGTTTTCACCCTTGGGTGGTGCTTTGGAATGATTAATGTGAGAGCTGAGCTGGTGGTCCTTGCTCAGGAGCTGGGCTGTGGCCCCACAGAGGCAGTAGATCCCTTGGGGACAGCAGGTACTCAGGACCCTCATGACCTGGTAAGAAGTGCAGGAAAGCATGAGGGAAYACAGCCACCACTGTCCCCTTGCAGCCTCACACACTCCTGGTGGTTCAGAGTCATCCTGCCTGGGCCAGGCAGTCTCTGCAGAGCAAGCTTAGAAGAAACCCCATGAGCATCAGTGTTCCTGGTTCTTCATAGAAAGCG